TGGTGGTTGGTTTTCCTGTTCTGGCATTCGCGCCCAGCCATGCGCAGTCCGCTTGCCACGCTTCCACGGAACCACAAGGAGAGCGCGCATCCCAAACAGCGTTCCCATCGGAGCACCCTGCGCAGACAAGAAGAACCTCCATCACTGTGGAAGGTCTGTGCGCAACCCCTTGCCATCGGGCATGAGGACTAAGGCTTCATTTTGAACGTGGGAAACAGGGAGCAAGCGCTAGCTGGGCCAGGGTCTACAGAAAGGCGGGAGCCGCTTGAATTGAAGGCGTGCCCTGGCAAAAGTAGCCTGGTAAAGCGAGCGCCCCTTTCAACAAAGAGTATCGGAGTATCCAAGTCCAATGAGCGCGAGCCATTTTAAAGAGAAAATTGCAATCCCATACATAAACAACAAGCACGCAAACATCAACATAATTGCTTCCAAGGGTATCGTTTTTTCAGAGTCCCCTATCGTTTGCCATAGTTTTGTGCATTTCCCGCAACATCAATGAAACGCCGAATACTAAATTCAACAGAAGTAATTTGACGGTGCTTCATATATGGAATTCCAGGGTCACCCCCTTTTCCGGGGGGGGGATATCCCGGATTTCCGGTGTTAACCATGCAACCCAACGTGAGCTTCCCCCCGAAAGTGACCGAAACGGTCCGACTCCCCTTCCTGGAGCTTGCTTTTGGTCTGATGTTACTTTTGGGTGGAACTCATATGGAAACCCGGCCAAGGGAAGAATGCTCCGGCGAGCTTTTGGGGCGATTGGTTGTCCCAGGTCGGACATCAAATAGAGATATGGGGGTAGGCACCTTTGGGGGGCGCTTCCTTTTCTCTCGACTCCGCGCGACGCTCAGCAAGGCATGCAAAACGGAACAAAGGCACTTCAAAGGAAGTCACGCTGTACATCGCCTGCCTCCAAGACATAACCTTATGGGGTGATTTTTTTGTTGGTCGGACATCAAGCAAAAACATGGGTGGGGAGGTTGGAGTTGGCACCTGTAAATCTCGTTTCCGTTTTACTCAAACCCCTACTTTTGGGAACCAACCTGCCGGTGGAATCCTCCGCCCCGGCGAATTCCGCGGAGGCGCTGGTCCGCGTGGTCGTAGAGCAGCTCCAGCTCGTTGCCGATGGCCAAGCCCATGACGTGGCTCGGGTCCAAGAGCCTTAAGAACTCCTGCCGACGGAGAAAATAAAAGGGAATTTCGTTTCAATTGGTGGCAAGTTCATTGCATTTGGTTGTTGGTTTTAGTTGGAACCCTACGGACATCCTACTTCCAACAAAGGGAATTGCAATAATTTTTAAAATCAAAAAACGCCTCGGTTGGGGCAGAAACTCGGATCCCAAGAGCTTGAGGCGGCCCCAATGGAACCAAACAACTTGAGGCCACAAAACAGGTCTAGGTTGGAGGTTGGTTGTTGGGTTGCTTGTTTATGTTGTTTTGTGGGGGGGGGACTGTTTACCACATCCACCACAGAACTGCTCTATGTTGTTTGTGTGTTTTCTTTGTTTGTGTGGCGGGGGGGAGATGCAATTTGTGCCGTTCCGCCCACTATTTGAGGTAGTTTTTCAAAAAAAAAAACACAAGAAACTACCAGTTTGGGGGGTAGGCACATGGGGGTTTCTCAACCTAGTGGTCCGTAGAAGTGGCAACTGTGTCCTATGTCTCTTGATTTCCCTTGCAATGTTACCAACCCAAAGTGGGGGTCCGCTCTTTTGAGAAACGCTCAGGTATCCGTTCTTGGGTTGGTTTGAAGGGGAACCTAAAGGAAATTCACAATTTAGGAAGGGTCGGACCTAAAAATAGACAGACCCAAATACAGCTACGTCCTCCAGATTTGAGAGGATAGAATAAGGGCACCCTTTTCTCTGTAGTCTATTTTAGTAGGTTAATGAACCCCAACCAAGAAAGAAGCGGCAAACGAATCGGCACCAATTGCGCTGGGGGGACCCAAAGAGAGCTCCAGGAAGCCCAAGGGGAACTCAGTTGCACATCAGGAAGCCCAAGGTCAGCATCAAGCTGCGGCTCCAAAAAGAAACACGGTATCTTCTAGGGGTGGTTTCCAATTCCATTCCATTCTTTTCAGCCATCGTTCTTTTCGAAAACCGATCACCGTTCTTTCCCGGGTTTCTGGGGGGTTTTTAGAAAGAAGGATCCCTGGAAAGAATGGGGGAGGTACCCCTAGATATCTTGGTAAATGGAACCAAGGACTAAAACCTTTTGCAACCCCGGCTTGTTCACTTTGAGCCACACCCATATGCATACTCTGCGGCTGTTTTCTGACTTTGAGTCAAAAAAAAACCCAGAAACAGTCTAAATGATGAACTGCTCTAGTGTTAACCTGTTTTGTGGTCCAAAGGCAGAAACGGGGTTTGGCATCTATCTGTGAAATCGCGGCAAGGCTTCTGAATTAAAGCTTGGTAGTTGATTTGAAGCTTGGTGGTTGTTGTCTAAGTTTGGGACAACACAACTCCAAAAGCCTGGACCTGCATTTGCAAAAACATGTCCAGTAGTAGTGAAATCGATTCCCTTCAAAACCAAGAGGGAAAATCATACATATTATATTCATTTCAGCAAATGGAAGTGGACAAAACGAGTCGGCCCTGGAGGGCCGAAGGCGTCCCTAGAGGCGTCCTTGGTCCAGCCCCAAGTCTTCTCGTCTTGCGCCGGCTCACAGGTGACGGGCGTGCCCACGAGGATCTTCACCCCATTCCTCGCCGAAGACCGGCGCTGGCTCTCGTATCTCGATCCGGAATCATCGGGAACCCCTCTTAATTCTTGAAGCTCCTTTTTCTGAAGAAGTGGACACCCTTCAAGGGAGGGTCATTTTAAGAGTCAGGGCCTCTTTTTGCTGGACTTTGAAGGAGCCACCTTTTTTGATGTTTTTTTTCTCTTTTTTGCGGACTTTCGTGCTGGTCAGCAAAGATTACCAGTAAAAAATGACCCCCGAACCATCCTTTGTGCTTTGTGACCTCCTGATCCCAAGCGATTCAACCCCGAAACCCTGGGTGCTTTGAGTCCTGAACTACGTTGGCGCCATGAGGCTCGTCGGGCAAGACCTGATATGGGTTGGTCAACTACCTGACAGTTCCCCGGGGGAGGGGGGAAAAAAAAAGACCAGTGGGTGTCTTGGTGGAGAGCGTGTTCTGCGTTTTCAGAGAGAGAAATCGAAGGGAAGACGCCTATTGACCCGTCTAGAAAACCGGTTGGAACCCTTGGTTCCTTGCTTCCATCTCCTGTGAGAACCTACCAGGCCGTGTGTCTTAAAACTAGGGCCCCAAAAACATGGCCTCGGTTTTCCGTTGGGTTGCACCATGCAAGGGAAAGCATGTGGAACGCACACAACTGAGGACGCCAACCTGCCCTGCGCGTCAGGCGAGCTACTTGAACTCATGAATTCCACCAACCAATACCTTAGTCTATATGCTTCTTGGGGTACCTTCCCCATTCTTTCACAATGCCGCCATCCGGGCTTGAGCGTCTGTGGCACACAACCCAAACCGCCAGGGAAAACGTCTGGCATAGAAAAGACTGGGCAATCAACCCCTAGAATAATTGCTCACAGGTTTTCAAGGGAACATGCTTTATATCCCTGTATATTGTCATTGAGCTACCAGCATTAGTACTTGTTAAGATTCACACACTTGAATTCAGGAATCCGTCAGCGGAGCTTGTTTTGCCCCAGAACGGCACGCTCTCCTCAAGCGGAACTGGATGTTCAACCTACAAACAACACAAACTCAGCTTCAAATGCCCCCAAGGGTGATGTGTGTCTCTCAACATTCGGGATGCCGCCTAGCCATGCCACAAGGCGATCCCGCTTTTGAGACCCCGCCTGCCAGGGTCGATTCAGTCTCCAGAAAGTTCTTCAGTGCGAGGAAAGTTGGAGAAGGGCACGGGCCGACAGATAGAGGGAAGGGGGCGGGGGCCTCCGGGATCCAATTCGTCCCCCAAAGGCCAGCTCCAAATCGCGGGCATCTGGAGGCGCTTTGGAACGGCTCTTGGCTGGTTTCCAAAGATAACGCCTCAGGGAAACCAGACATTTGGGGTCTCATGAAGGACACATACCCATTTGCGCCATTCCCCGCCCCAAGCAGATTACTTTGCTTCCCACATCTGGTGTGAGCAACTGCTGCTATGACCCCTATAAACCATCAAGTGTGGTTTCCTTTAAGCGGACCCCAAACGGTTCAATCCCAACACCCTGACTCGTTCTCATTCCCTAGCTATGGCACCAGCAAGACAAGCGGGGTTCGGTGCTGATCCCGCAAAGGAACACATCTGCAACCTGCCAAGGTGTTGTTTTGAAGATTCCCTTACGGACGCCCCACCCTTAGGCGTCCTTGTGTTTGGGTCTGTCGGTGTTGGGTGGCACCCGAGTTTTTTGGCTGGCTTTGTAAAGGGAAACAAAACCCACAATTTGGGGGTTCCACTACACCAAAACACACCCGGTTGGCTTTCATAAGGCTTATTGAGCCCCTAGCCCTTCGACGGGTGCCTGCGCCTGCGCTCTACATAACTCTTCAGGTAACGCTCAAGTCGTGTCCAACTCGAAAGCGCTCGTTCGCAACGCCCGCTTGCTCGGGGTCCTGAAAGCGACACCTTCAACATGATACGTCATAGCAGCGAATGCTGCTCAATAGGAAATGGGGGGAGGAACCGATTGGGGTCCCTTCAAGGAAACCAGCAGTTGGATGGTGTACTTATAGCCTGCCTGTCGCACCAGCAAGACTTATCGGCTACCCCCTTGACTGGACACCAAATGGGGAAGGTGCCCCCCGATGTACCCACCAATCCAAACCACCGATGAGAGGCAAGCAAAACCTGGTTCGTGAAGCCTGCTACAAACATCAGGCCGATTAAGCTTAAGGCCCCCCGAGGGTCTGGAATATTCAGCAATCTAAGCAATGTGCAAAGGCAAAAACCAGAAACCAAAGAAAAGAAAATAACAATCAGCTTTCCTTGCTATGTTCTTGGGTGGATTACTCTCTTGGATTTCCCCTGTAAAACCGCGAAACACGGGGTCCTCTACAAAACCAAACACCACGAGCCACCCACCCTCGAACCGAAAGCCGCCGAAACATGCGCGTCGCTTGAGGCTTCAGCCGAGCGTCGCCCGGGCGAAGCCGGCGAGACCTTTCCAGGACGCCTCGCGGCCCTCTTCCGGCCACGCGGTGTTCCAGGCCTTGCGGTGGCGCGACTGGTCGTCTTGACGCAGTGGGGGGAGAGACTTCTGGTGCTCCAAGAGGCAAAACTTTAGGGAACTCTAGGGAACCCTCAAAATCCGAGGGAACCCTAAAAATTATAGGGAAGAGTTAAAGGGTTCAAAGGGGTTAGCTTACAGGAACATCCGGAAATTGCCAAAAACACCCCGATTTAGCTGTTTTCCTGCAGAATTTCCGGTAACCCAACCCTTTGAATGCCGGTCCAAGGGGGGGGGGGATGATTCCCTAATGCTCCTAAAAGGAACCCTAAGGCATTCTAGGGAACGCTAGGGAAGCCTATAGAACCCTAGGGAACCTCAGGGAACCCTCAAACCTAGGGCTTGACTCGGTTCTGCCGTCATCCTGAAGGGCAAAGAGCTGAGATGCTGCATTTTGGGTCCCAAAGAAAGGGTTCCTCCCAGTTCTGGGGGAAAACTTGTGCAAATCAACATGACACGCGTTGCTTGGGATAGTACCGGGATCTGCATTGCGGGCGCCCGTTTCCCGGGAAAAGCAGAAGGAATTACTCAGCTTGATGCCGAGCTATGGCGGGACTCACCGATACATTCTGGAAGACAGAGCCTCAGTTGTTCAGTGACCCTGGAGAAGAAAAAAAAAGGGAACCCTTTCTTTTTTGGCTTGGACCATTTTCGTGGGGCAGCCACCCCCCCCCCCAAAACAAAAGGGTGAAAAAGAACAAGAATTGGGGGCCACTGGACAACTGAGCTGGGCTCACAGGGTTTCCCTGAGAAGAGCGAAAACCGGCTCACGGAAATTGAAGCATGATGTTCAGAGTTTTAGATCGTTTCTGCAGCCAGAAAAAAATCAACATCTAGGTCCTCCAGAATTGAGAGGTTAAAAGAAGTTGGTACCAACTTTCTTCTGTAGTCTTTTGTAGCAGGTTTGAACCCTCCCAACCAAAAAAGGGGTGAGAAAGGGCACCTATTGCTGGGACCTAGACATTCTATGACCCTAAATGGACAAACCCTCAAATGGACATCCTCCCAGGCCGTTAAAAAAGGGCTTCAGGGCCTGCTTGCGGGCTTCCAAAGCAAACGCCAGGCCAGTTCGGAGAAACCAAGCTGGGCGATCCTCAGATCCCCTGGCTCAAAGTTTGACCTTTAGTGGGCGAAATGGGCACCCAACCACTGAACCAACTAGAACCCATCTAGAACCTCAGGAGACGGCTACCACCAAGTCTTGGAGCCGGTCCGCCGCCTTTAACACCCATCCAAAAAAAAGCCCGTCGGAGCCTTCGCGTACGTTTCGCAGGTGGAACCCGCCGTCCCCCAAACAGTGGGATCGTCGACGCGCTTTTTGGGGACCTTCGAGGACATTTCGGCTCGGGACCTTCTGGGAACCCCATCCTGGAAGATGCGCAAGGAGCCCAGGGGCGCCTGGAAGTTGGGCCAGGTCCTCAACGCGCGCGAGAGGAATTGCATGGAATCGGCGAGACGCCAAGCCGCCCAACGTCAATCCTTTGCGTGGCCTCGTCGATCTTTTTCTTTCTTTCTTTTTCTTTGGGGGGGGGGGGGGGGGGGTTTGGGGTTGGTGTTTAAAGGGAAGCCAAGAGGAAGAGCACAGCTTTAGAGGTAAAAAACATGTTTGATCATGGGGTTAACAAAAACAACAAAAAACAGGAACAGCACCTAAGAAACCCAGAGAAATCAAGTCCAGGACGGTTTTGGCTCAGCCCAAAGGACTCAGCAATGACTTTGGTCCGAGAGCTGAATGATTGCGAAGGAACCGGTTTTTGGTTGGACTCACAAAGCTGGGCTGCCCGTTTTCTGGTCCCCCGCTAAAAGTGACTCACTTTTCGTGTTTGTTAAATGGAAACTACCACTGAAGACTAAAAGGCTAAAAAGCTGAGGAACCGGATGGCTGGAAGCTCCCAAGAAAGGAGTGTTGATTGACAGGGGCTACTCCCTCATTCTCTGAGCACCAACATAGAAGGTGATATGCTTTTCAGGCCACTAAAAATGGCTGCCAAACCGAAGACCAACAGGTTGGATCCCGTCAATCCGCTTTGCTTGCAAGTGGGACTAGGAATGAAGCATGTGGGATCCCTGAAAGGAAAGCAGTAGGGATGGTTCAGTTTGGGGTTCAAATTCTCATTCCCGCTGCTCGACTATTGCCGTGGGGGCATCCAGAACCAAAGTCAAAGTATGAAAGTCTGTGATGTGTTTCTGTTAGTCTGCGCCATAGTGTTTTCCTTGTTGAAACACGCTCAATTCACTGCTGCTGAAATAACCGCCCGTGTTGGGTTCCCTTCAAAGGGGACTGGGGCGCCAGTTCCAAACACCCTGGTCTCGCAGCATAGAAACCTGTAAATCTCGTGGGTCCTGCTTCTACTCAGTCGCAAGGGGTCTTCTAGAAGCGCTGCCCTGTGCGACAAAATCTTGCCACTACATATGGCCATGGGTCAAAATCCCAGTTAGCCCCCAGTGAACATCCCAATCCCCATTAAGATAGACTAAACAGGGTGGTGCACCTACCCCAAAAATGGTACCATTGGCTTTAACCCACAGCCATATGAACGCTCTCCAGCCATGCCCATCACTTCCTGAAGTCCGTCCAAATCATCCTCCCAAACACGTTTAACCGGGCAATGAGGCCTGCCTTACCAACAAACACGCGCAGAATCGCTTCCGAACAAATCCACCCGGAAAAACCCATCCGCCGAATCCGCAAGATCCTAATAATCGACTTGGCTGTTCGGCCAGCAAGTTGGCAGCGTTAGTTGTAACCCACCTTCAAGCCCCCCTTGACGAGTGTAACCTGTTGCTTGTGATCTAGAAGGCACATGCCTAATTTCCCACTTGGCCGAACACCCACGTCGAGGGAAGTGTGGTGTGACCACGCCGCCTTTTGCAGGTGTTGAGATCTGATGATCCATGTTCACCCCCTCCAAAAAAAAACAACAACAAAAAACAAGGAACCTTCACAATGGGCAACTAACGTCGTACACCCCCCCCCTCCGCGAAAGGTGATGTTGCTACAAATTGTCCGGCTTTAACTCACTTCCTGAGTGGATTGGCCCAAACAGGTCAGGAGCTTCTTATTTACCACCAAAATGGCCCAAACCCAAACAGTGACTAAAGCCCGAAAAACTCGGGAGGTGAGTTAACTTACTGGTGCTCAGCAGGGAATGAGGGAATGACTCCTATAAACCATCCCTTGTGGTTTGCTTCACTTCTTTGAAGGGCCTGAGACAGGCCCCATGGCGGGCCTCCAACCACGACCGATTCATTCCCAACACTCTGGGTCATTCCCTTGAGCGGGTCCCGATAAGGGGGGGATTCCAACTTGGCGCCACGTTTTCACGATGCGTTTTGCGCAAAGCTTACCCACATTTGCGCCACAATCAAAAACTATATAGCCATTTCCCATATCAAACTTAGGTGCATCACAGGGGGGAATTCTCTCGCATCCCTGGTTCCCCCTGTATCCCTGCTAGTTGGTTTCCCTGACTACTGAGCGCCAGCAAGTCAGAGCTGCTGCCCTCAGATCCCCCGCTAAAAGTGACTAACTTTTAGTGGGCTAAATTCGGAAACTACCACTAAAAGGCTAAAAAGCGAACGGGATGGCTGGCTTCGCCACCAAGTTTTCAGGGTACCTTTTTGCTGTTGGAAAGGAACACCCAACGGATAACCACCATTTTGGGGTCCCCTAAAAACAGACACACCCATTTCCAGGTATGGTGAAGGTATGGTTCTCCCAGCGGCTGCGGGATCCGCCCAGCGCAGTACCTCTCTGGCATGGAGACGTCCGAAGGGACGGCGGGGAGTTTCTACCCAATGGCTCACAGCAAGGTCTGCCTCCATTTGTTCAAGTCCCCTGAACCAAAAATGCGGTAGTGAAATCGATTCCCTTTAAAACCAACAGGGGAAAATTAAAATAATATTCTAAACCAAATGAGAGTCTGTAGAGATGTTTGTTGTTTTTTGCTAGCCTCGATTTATTTGCTCAACCAGGTTAGATGTGCTTGGTTTAATTCTTGCAGGGTTCGATTTATTTGCTCAACCTGGTTCCCACAGAAAGTCCCAAACAAAAAGGGAAACGCCACAAGATCACACAATCCAGAAGGGGTTGACAAGCCTAAGTTGCTTGTAATTTTCGGCCAAAGGCCAACTAAGGGCTTTCATCGAAATCAACATCTGGCAAAGTTGGTCCAATCAAAAGGACGGATATGAGCTATTCTCGAAATGTTCCAAGCTGCAAAATGGAATATCGCTGGAGGCTTCGTTGTACATGTCCTTGAGGCGGAGTATGTTGGGGATCCCTCATATCCGCACCGTGGTGCACGAAGCTTCTTCAAAATGGAACTAAGGCTTGGTTGCCGATGGTTGCCGGTGATCCCCCTCTGCAACCACAAATAACTATTGGTGGGTCCAACGGTAAATCCACAGTTTCCCAAATAGCCAGAAGACCTATTAACCGAACCCTTCATGCTGCTGAGTCCCCGAAGGGGGGTTTTGGGAATTGGGGCCTGTGAACCAAAAGGAACACAGTTGGAATCACCCAAGTCACAATCAAAACCTGGGACTAGATGGGTCTACCGGGCTAATGCAAAAACCCTGAAGGGCGGAGGTCCGCACCAATTGGTTAAACAATTGTCCCTTGTCCTTCTACTAGGTCCTCCAGTCGAGAGGTTAGAATAAGGGTACCAACTTTTTTCTGTAGTCTATTTTGAACACACCTGCCCAACACCTGGTTCTGCCAACCAGGCACAATCAGCTGGGAACGAACCATCTGGGTTGCTCCGCCCTGGGCAAAAGGTCGTAACATATTTTGTAGGTTTGATGTCTATTTGTGTCCAACAAGCCTCTGCAAGGCGCAGAGGCTCACACCAAAGACCAGCCATGCTAACATGGCCCTGGGGAATGTGTCTTGGGCGCAGCGCGCAGACTTAGACCCGCTGAAAAGTGAACTGGTTGCTGCTTCAAAGGGACAATGACGTAGTGTCAACAAGGTAAAATGTTAAAAGGTACCCTTCCAACCCTTGGTATGGTAGCAAAAAGGTTGGCTTTCTTCTCTTACCAAAACATGAACAGAAGCAAACAACACAAAACCCTGAAAACCACATAACAAGTTACCTACGTTGCACCCATTTGTGGTTGGGACTGTCCCTTACTAAGCTTCAACTACTCTAGTTTTGATTGTGGCTCACATGTCAACAACTCACTTCCTGAGTGGATTGGTCCGAAAAGCTTGAACTTGCTATCTACTGCTAAAATGGTCTCGCCAACAAGTTTGAAGTCCAGGAACTCAGGGAGCGAGACAACAGCGAAGCGAAGTCCGAAGGTCAGCTGCGGCACTGCAGCGTGGTGTCGTCCACCGTCAGCCCCTTGCGGCTCATCGTCTCGGAAGCCAGGCGCCGCGAAGCGCTGCAGCAGCCGAGCCTGAGTTTGTCACCCACAAAGTCCACCAGAAAAAATGCCAAGCAACCGCAAAAATCGTTAAGGGGATATCGCCTGAGCTTATTTTTTGCTGGTGGTTTGTAATCTGGCGTTTGTCTTGTTGTTTGGGTGTTCTTTGTTCTTTCAATATCTGATGATTTGGTATTTGCTTGCTGTTTTACTACCATGCAAAGTTTGCCAATCAAACCAGGAAAATGTCGGTTTGCGTCTGGGGGGTGTTGGGTCATTCACAAGCTTGACACGTTCAGAATCAGGCAATCAACCGAGAAATCCGTAAGAAAATGGGCGTTGTCTCCAGGGAACCAATCAGAAACTCAGGCAGGTTGGGGGAAGGAAAGACGCGGATCTCGCGGGTTGGCTTTCTTGGGTACCCTTTGTTGGCTTGGTTTTCAAGGGAAACTAAAATGACACCACCCACAAATGGGGGGCGGGTCCAACCATATAAAAGACACACATCATATTCACCCCCAACTAGCATGAAAGTTCGGGGACCCCTTGCGAGACTCAGCTTGCAGCCTTGGAGCTTCCAATTGGCCGGGTAACATACGGAGATTGACCTCCACTCCTTTCGGCTCCCGTTCTGCGCGATACTGGGGTCTGGCCTTGATTTTAAACTTTACAACCTGGTATGCCAGCAAAAGAAATTGATTTTTGCAGCCCCCACGAAAAATGGAACAGAACCGAACAAGCAAAACGGCACCTAAAAACATGATCCACGAACAGTGAGGTCAAGTGGGGAAGGCAAAGGCGACCCCTTAAAGGCATGGAAGGATTGGCTTTAAACAGCCCAGTATAAATCAATTCCAGTCCTGTGCCCAATGCCCAAAGTGCCTCCCTCACTTTCCAGCACTATGCTGGCAGAACTGACAAGAAATCCCAACACGGAAATAAATTACCCCCTCAGGTAAAAGGCTCTTCATGGCAATGAATGAGCTCGTTTTACCCCAGCGAGCTAGTCTTAAGCTATTCAGACATATTCCCCAACCCCCTCGCACTAAACATGAACAGACCCCAGTTCTCACCCCTGTGTCCAAGTGGGGCACCAACATAAGTAGTTTCCATTCATAGGTTTTCCTTTTCAAACCCTAATCATGTTTGTTAATGCTGACTCCACATGAGTAAAGCCCTGATTATTCGAATGAGGGTGCCCCTGGTTTTCGGAACCATCAGTTGTGGAGGAGAACACCCCCATATAAACAAGCAGCGGTCTATTCATCCGGGTCAACATTACCAACATTACCTTCGAAAAGAAACCCCGACCAGGGTATCCTCAAAACTGGGCTGTCCTCAGATCCCCTACTAAAACCTAAGGTGATGGCCGCTAACTGCCCAGAAAAAGTACACGCACCCAATCTCTGCCGCTGAAAGGCATGGTGTTGCCGCTGGGGCAGCAATCCCCAAACAGCCCCAAGCCGCTGCACCCGGGCCAGTCCGCGCATTTCGCCTCGACTTCTCTGGCGGGGAAGGACATGGGAGTATCTGTTTTTGAGGGCACCCTCCTCCCACTAACATTGCGAAAATAGTAGGGTACCTGGAACATCAATTTCTTACTGGACCCTGTCAGGCGCCATGTTGGTGGAAGGGTGGGAAAGGAATCTTGGTGTATCTGTTCTTAAGAAATGAGAGTCATTGTTTTTTTGCCAGCTTGAGACAACACTGTGGGTATTTGGATCACCAAAGACCTCGTTTTCTCCAACACCTTGTTTGCTTTTTGTTGAGAGCACACTGCGGGTCTGCTGGTTTTGAGGCCCAGCCCTTTCAAGGGGTTTAACAACTGGAGGATACCTGGAACATCATTTTTTCCGGGAGGCCCCCTTGTCAGGTGCCATGTTAGTGGAACCAACAAACACCACACAATTTGGGGGGTCCCCTAAGAAGACGAGCCGCCCGAATGGTAGCATACTCCCCTGCAAAAAAATATGGGTCCCGAATGTGGGTGGACTCCCAAGAGCGGAGTACGAAAAGTACATCTCCGTGAACTGTCATTCAATGACTTCCCCCGCTGACCGCCAAACCCCACAGAGGAGACATGATCTATAGATATGGTTTACTTCAAATGTGTTCCTGTTGTTTGCTTATCCTTAAGGGGTATGTTCCAACCCCTAGACCAAACCCAACAGAGGAAACCAGCCAAACTTGCTCTTCCTGTGGCTTTTTGGCCTGTTAAGAGGGGGCATGCTCCAGGGGTCTGGTGGTACCTTTGAAACATGAGCTCATCCAGGGGCCCGGTGCTGAGTTTGTTGCGGCTAATGGCCCCAAAAAAGGGAACTAATTCTGGGAAGTTTTCCGTAGTCTGTTTTAGCAGGGAATCCCCCCCCAAAAAAGAAACGGCAAAAGGGCCCCAATTGCTGGGGGGCCTAGATATGAAACTCGAAGAGGCCAACCTGAGATCTGGGCCAAGGCCAACATAAGGCCAAACAAGGGCGACTTTCGGCCGAGGATGACTGGGCTGCCACTGATCCCCCTGGTAAAAATGGTGAACTGCAAGTGGGCTCCATGAAAATGTTCGAACCATACAACCACAGAACCCCACCACTACACCAACTGAAAGCATCTAAGAGCCTTAGGAACCGGATGCCCGGGCGGAACCACCAGATATGGCCGTGGGTCGGTCCAAAATAGGGGAACTTCCCAAAATGGCAAGAGCCCTGGCACATGGAAACAGGACGACCTGTGGTCCATATCCTGGTGAAATATGAGTCACTCGATCAAAAAAAAAGGATTATTCAAATGGTCGTAATCCCAGAACCATGTAATCTTTCTAAGGCGGCCGCAACTGCTCATGGTTGGGAGTTTTCCCGTACTAACCTTCATCTACCCTTGGTTGACGTTGGAAGGGGAGCAAAAAAACATTGTTTAGCAGTTTAGTGGTTGGATTTCCACCACTAAACCACAGCAAGCAAACATGTAAAATGTTTCCTAACAACAACCATCTACCCGGGTTTTGCGTGTGACTCATATGAAGTGCCCTTTCACCCCATCGAGTCATTGAGTCCAGTGGCGGAAGCCCGGCCCGGCAGCTGCGTGGGCGCCAGGGTCGACTGGAAAGCGCGGCCCAGCTCGATGTCTGTCTGACAGGCCTCAATTTTCGGCTAAAACTTGCTGTTGCCTGCAGAAAGTAAATAACTGTTTGGGGGGTTTAGTGGAAAACCCCACTTGATTTCAACAAAAAAGGTTGAAGTCTAGAGATCCAACCCAATAGCAGTTAAGTCGGGTACTCACTTCCTGAGTGCATTGGTCAGAAAAAGTGTGAACTATTTAGTTCCACCAAAATGGTCTCATCCCCTGCCTATCGCACCGATCGCCAGTAAATGTTCAGAGTGCTCGACACAGGGTTCTCTCATTTTGGCACCATGGGTGGACTTGCCTTTGTCTTCCCTTTAAAGCCATCCAACAAAAGAGTACCCTGAACAAAAACACGAAATGGTATGGACAGAATCAATCCGCTTCGCACCGGACGGGATGGATGAAAACCGATTTGAATACTGGTTGATAAGCCACTTTCCAACTGGATGCTTTTTCCATCCACAGCATGGGCAAAAGCATTACACGCATTCTGAAATGATCATGAAGAAACATGGCAATGGTTTTTCGTACTAGGTCCTTGGAGGGGGCAGCCCGTAACACTGGGTGGGCGTTGCCTTCTGTTCAAGTTCCCTTGGTACCCTCCTCCAATTTCAACCAACTTTCTCACAGAGCGAAAACCACCGCCCTTGGTCACATCTCTACTCTTGGTATGGTAGCGAAAAGCTTTGTTTTTTGCAGACCCCCAGGAAAAATGAACAGAACCAAAAAATAATTGTTAAAAAAAAAAGGAAAAACACATGCCAAGAACAGGGAAGGTCAATTTGACTTCAGGGTAAGAAACCAAGGGAGGCTCTTCAGACATTCGGAGGAAAGCAGATGCTTGGCTTTCTACTGGGTCCAATGTGACCCTTGCAGGGACCCACGAGGCTTCCCACGCGTAACTTTCAGAAGCCCCTCCTTCCATTTGAGTTTTCGCCCCCTGGATTAAACAAAAAACATGTCCAGTAGTGAAATCGATTCCAACTTTACAACCAACAGGAGGAAAATAATAATAAACATATTCTTAAGCAAATGGAAGCCTCTTGCTTTCCCTTTCAATCCACAAAAAATGGCTAGGCCCTCCAGTCGAGAGGTTAGAATAAGGGTACCAACTCTTTTCAGGACGTCTATTTTTAGTAGGGGAACCCTCGCCAAAAAAAAGAGTTGGTAAAACCTAGCTGGGGGACCTGGGGTAGCCCCCGCCACCGGTTTGGCAGAAAGTTCTCAATCCATCGCCATCCCCCGGCCGCCCCGACCGAAGCGGAACGCGGCATCCGAGCCTCAAGGTCATCCCCGCACTTGGCGAAAGCCATGCCGAACAGCCACGGGAGACGCTTCGCCATGGCTCTTGGAACCGCTGTCCAGTCAAAGCGTCCGGGGTTTGGTGCTGTTTTCTCACTTGCTGAGTGGATGGCCCAAAATATTGACCACTAAATGGTCTTTCCAAAAAGTTTAGAGTTCACGAACTCAGGAAGTGAGTTTTTGGGTTTGGGGAGCTGTGGGTTGACCCTGGACACCACAAAAAAAAGCCTGCGGGTCAGGGGTCAATAAGTCAAAAGCAACATAAGGCCGACAGGAGGCCTTGTGTGAGGCCAACATCCGCTCGTTGGTGGTGCCGAGAATGTCCCGAGCGGATGTCCTTCAAGTTGGCGAAAGGGTAAACTTCAAAAAAAACTGACAAAAAACAAAACGGACGGGCTGTATGCATGTGTACAAACAAAGGCTCTACCGGTCTAACAATGCAAATACCTTAAAGGGTAGATGTTTGAATCAATTGGTTGAACAATTGTCCCTCCTCAATCTACTATAGGTCCTGTAGTGGAGAGGTTAGAATAAGGGTACCTGATTTCTTCAGGCTGTCTATTTTAGTAGGGGAACCCTTCCCCAAAAAAGGGGCAAAAGGGCACTACTGGGGGACCTAGATGAAGGCTTATGTGTGAGGATATATGTGCAGGTGGGGCTTATAGTGGACACTTATGTGCTTGCACTAACCCCCAATTGGGGTATTCTGTGTTGCTTTGATTTGAAGGTTTAGACGAGCTCCACAAAATATCAACTCCTCCCAGAGTCCGCACGGGATCGCATGCCACTCTCCCAGGACCAATGACTTTCTGAGAAAAAAAAGGTACTCGAGCATTCTCCGTGAGGAATCGGACCCTCGTTTTGGGGAGTGCTCCATGTCAATCTCCCGCGAGGCCGGGTGATGTTTGATACGGCGATATTTGTTTTGCCGTCTGAGTCCGTGCCACGGGGCCAACAGGCCCGGCCAAAAGGAAGCTGCGGTCTTGGACCTCTTGAAGCCAAGGACCTCTTGAAGCCTCAAGCTACGGTGGCCCATAGGTGTCCTTTTTAGGGCAATAGATGGGTTTCCCTGGTAGATGATTAATTAAACCACCAGGTAAACCAGGAATTGCCCAACCTATTTTTCGAGCAAAGCAACCAGAAAGGACACCTATGTGGATGCCACAAATCTTGCGAGGAAACAAAGAAAACAGGAATAAATTCGCATGGTTTGTGGTGGGCTTACTTGCAATATTTCGGGCATCCAGCGTTCCCCCTGGGTTGCTGTTGACCCATCTCCCACAAGTTCATTATTTTTTGTGGGTTCAATGGAGAACCCTTTGAATCCCCAAAAAGTTACAGTCTGAAGATCCAGCCCAACGGCAATCAAGTTACCATAACCCAATTGTAAGGGTAGGTTGAGGGTCCACCCTGGTATTGGAGGCGGAAGCTTTGTGCAGGCGTGACGTCAAACCTCAAACCACGCACCGGATTGAAGGAAAGTCCCACAACCTGCATGTGACAACTTGAGAGTCCCGAGTCCGGTCTTGTGGCTGAAGCAAGTGTTTGATGATTTTGGGGTGTGGTGATCCCAGAATCCGCGCGGTATTCGGGGTTAACAACAGCGCACCCCTTTCCTAGCCCCAATAGGCCACATGATTTGTGTCTCTTGACAATCCAAAGCTCATCTTACAAACCACTCCCGAAAGACCTGGGTTCAGACGTTGCTCTCCAGGAGTCTGTGCACAGATCCCAAAGCTTGCGGGGGAAACAGGATATCTTGACGGACTAAACCCGTCCTAACAGGGCCCATTGGGAAAGCCCCTCCAGTGCTTCACAGTGACCCGATTTGGGGTCAACATAAGGTTCAAGGGCATAGGTGTCCTTTTGGTAGATTAGATGGCCCTGATAAATGGAATAACACCAATCTAAAGTACCATCAATTTCTATCCAAGCTAGCCTATAAATGACACCTGTGCTTGACTGTTTCTACTTCGTGGAGGAAACACACATAATTTGCAGTAGTGATAGATTCCTTTTTACCCAACAAGGGAAAACAACAAATATTCATTTCAGCACATGGAAGCAAAGGACACCTATGTTCCTTGGCTCTTTCTACCAACAGTTGGGCCATGGAAGGTTCGAGCCCTCGCGCCTGAAAGCAACTGTGCCCACCCTTCCGCCGATGCTCCAAGCCTGCGCGCGGGAGGGTTTGACTCGATGCTTCAGGGAGATAGGGTTTAAACCTAGGGAGTTTAACACCTAGGAGTAAAACTGGGTTGACTCTATAATTCTGGATTAACTCTAGAATTCTTCAGGGTTGACTCTGTAATTCTGGGGGAGTAAAACGTAGGAATGCCCTTAGATGCCCTTAGTTTGGTCTGTTTCTTCTCACTTGTGTTGTTCTTGATGTTCAACCAAACACGGAGCCCACAAGGCCCTGGTATGCGCTGGTGAGTCACAATGCAAAAACCCAGGTATCAAAATGGGTCTGCCAAATATTTATGGCTGGGACTGTCCACTAACCTTCACGTACAGGGCTTTACTAATTAGATTGACCATGGGGAAGGATGTTCGGAGGATTTCTCTGATTGATGATGAGCAGTCAATGGATCAACTTTTGACTCGGGGACATCCAGTGACCCCTGTTCAAATTCATACTTCGATCGCCCCAAACATACTTTAACTGGAGGAGACGCTGGAATGCAAGGGGTCCAAAAACCTGTGAAGATGTTGGAGGGCAGGTTTAAGTACTAGGTCCTCCAGTAGAGAGGTTAGAATAAGGGCACCCTTGTTTCTGTAGTCTATTTTAGTAGGAGAACCCTCCCAACCAAAAAAGAAACGGTAAAAGTTGGCACCAATTGCTGGGGGACCTAGACTACCTTTTTGGCCTACGAGCAACACACTTGCCAACAACAAGCCGCCCAGTGCTTCCAGCGACCTAACCAGGCAAACCAATTGAAAACAGGGATCCTTACATTGTACACCTGAACATTGCCTTGTAAATGGTGGTTTCCCTTTATTTTGGTGCAAAAAGCCATGTTTCAAATGGCACAATGTATCTTTTAAGGAGCCCTGTGAAAACTAGACGTATAACAATTGGTGTTCCTTCCGCCCACGTTGCCATGGCACACGCCAGAAGGTCCATTGAAGCGGAAAATTTGATTTTCCGGCTCCCACAAATGCTATGTTAGTGGAAGGAACCCATCTACTTCTAACCGAAATAACCTCAAAAGCACACCTATGTCTCCCATTTGCTTAAGCCCCCTGGAAAAAACAAACATATTTCCGGTTTCCAACTTTAAAACCAGGCAAACTCAAGAAAACATGTGCTTCAGCTCAACAGGACCTATGTTCATCCTCTTGCAGCTTCCTTATTGGTTTTCCCTGCGCCTGGCTGCGCCTGCGCCCCGAAGGAATCTGTGAAGCGACTGGCGCGGCCTGTGAAGTAGGCGTCCAGGAGCCGGTTGAACCCCGTGGCGCCGTCGCACCTGAAGGCCCCCACTGCCGTGTGAACTCGCGTGGTTCGCTGGCGCTCATGGCCCATGCGCCCCGAAAAGGGGGGCCAACGGGGGAGGAAGGGGGGGGTAAACCAAGTTAATCCCTTGATAAGGTCTGATTCATTTATTCAGGGCTTTATCAACTTGGCGGATCCTGGGCTTCTTCGGATGGGGAATTTTCGTGGGTACTCACTCAGCAGATTGGGCAGAAATGATGTTGACCGTCGCGAAGGCTCTGATGCATAACCTGGAAAATGTGCGTACGCCCCCTGGAAAAAAAGCATGTGTGCAGTAGTGACAGATTCCCTTTGAACTAAAAAGGTACAGGACCGGCATGCTGCGACATATCTGTCGAAGTCCGTCTAATCGTGAAAACGATCACACAGCGAGGGTGCTGGTCCTCGGGTAATGTCTGCACAGGCATGGCTTACACGTCTTTCAGCTTCCCCTAGTTGGTGGTTTGAATTGATGGTTTGGCGGTTGGGTGATTTCCCATTTACCTACAAGAATCAGAGGTTCAAATCCGCAAACCACCAATCCAAACCAATCAAGGGTTACCTGACCATTTGTAGTTTGGAGCTCGGTGGTGTCCCAATTACCTACCAGAGCCAGGGCTTCAAATTCCTGAGTGGATTGGCCACAAAAGTCTGAACTTTGCATTTACCACTAAGGTCCAAACCATCTACTAGGTCCTCCAGTAGAGAGGTTAGAATAAGGGCACCCACTTTTTTCCGGTTTGTCTATTTTAGGTTTGAACCCTCACCAAAAAAGAAACGGCAAAAGAATCGGCACCAATTGCTGGGGGGCCTAGTCTAAGTGACAGTCCAGTCCAGGAACTTAGCACAGGCCAAAAAACCCGCTGGATCTGAATCGGCGCCGTCGGGCCGATTGCATGCACTAAGGTTTGGAATGTTTGGACAGGGGGAAAAAGAGGAAAAACCCAACAAGTTGCAACAAGTGGGTATGTCAGTATGTCCTTGGTCCAATTTGCCAGGGCAAGCCATTTTGAGCTCCCTTTTTTGATCCATAGCCAAGTGCATAAGGCAAAGTCTGGCTGCGAATTTCGACGATCCCATGAAACTGGAAAATTTGAGAACCCCCGCACCCGAGGGGGTGTCAGAAGTTCAGTCCACCTGTCCCTGCTTCGCAAATCGCGCCACCGAAAGTGTCCTCAAGCAACCCCGAATTGGTGGGGTAGCCCACACAAAAATACATCACAAGCATCACTCTGAGCAAATGGATCTGCGAGACTGCAACTCACTTCTTGAGTGGATTAGCCAACAAAAAAGTAACCATTTTTTTGTTTACCACCAAAATGGCAACCAAACCCAAGAAGTGGCTAAATTCCAGGAACTCGGGCAGCGAAGCAACTTTTCTTCGAGGCCCAACCGTTCAACCAACACTTCCATTGCTTAACTCCTTGGGAAAGACTGTTGTGAACTCGATTACTTTAAAAGCAGGGGAAGACAACTTTGGGCACTACTGGGGGACGTAGCATCCGTTCCTTTTTCCTTGCCCCGGCCTCATGGCGG